TGTCATTGAACTCAATCAGGCTTTGGACCACATTTCCGAATGGGGTACCAGGAACTTGGTTGGGTTCAATGCCAAGAAAACTCAGGCTTGCGCTTTCACGGCAAAAACATCGCCATTCCTTCCCCTTCCATCTCTTCAGGGCACAACACTACCGCTGCAGAGCAACATTTCCATGCTCGGTATGGAAGTTCGCTCAGACCTGAATCCAAAGGACTACATCGAAACCGTGATCAAAACAGCTTCACGCAAACTCGGAGTCCTGAACAAGGTGCGGCGTTTTTTCACGCCCGATCAACTGTGCTTGTTGTACAAAACGCAAGTGCGGTCCTGCGTGGAATATTGCTCGCACCTCTGGGATGGCTCCGCCAAGTACTTGCTCGATGCTTTGGATAGGTTACAGCGGCGCGCGATCCGCATCATAGGCGATGAGGAGGTGACTAAACACCTTGAGCCTCTTCAATTACGCCGTGACGTGGCGTCACTAAGCGCGTTCTATCGTTTGTACCACGGCGAGTGTTCTGAGGAGTTATTCTCTCTTATCCCACCTTCCCCTTTCCTTCAGAGGACCACGCGCGCTGGCCTACGTTGTCACCGTTTTACTGTGGCCACAATTCCAACGCGTACAAAGAAATTTGGTGACTCATTTCTTTGTCGCACTATCCGTAAATGGAATGCTCTGCCCGCTCACGTGTTCCCTCCCTCTTACAACCTGGGATCCTTTAAAAGAGGCGTGAAGAAGCAACATGCAGGCCGGCAGGGTGAGGATGGCTGGTGTGGCAGGTAGAACTGCTGTATCAGCTATCTTCGCGTCTGGACTTCACCTTCACTTAACATCAGGTGGGGTGGAGTCATTTGTCGGACCTAACTATAAAAAAAAAAAAAAAAAAAAAAAAAAAAAAAAAAATATAGCGACATCCCTTTCTAACTGTGCTCAAGACTAGATCAATCACTGAGTCTTCAATCAATCTTTCTATAATACGGGCCTAAGTGTTTCCTTCAGAAGGATTACAGTACTCATCGCCAATGCGCTAGTAATGATACTGGTATTGCCTTCCACAGATGGTCTCCGCTTACAATTAGAAAAATGGCCACACTTTTTAGGGTTCCGTAGTACTGCCAAGGAACCCTTATAGTTTCGTCTTGTCCTTCTGTCCGTCCCTGGTTTTGCTTGGAGCCTATTTGCACTAGAGAGCTGTTATTTTGTGGAGACATGTATATCAACCACGCCAACAAAAAGGTAGAAAAAACTTTTTTATAAATATTTTTTTAGTTAATCATTCGTATTAAAAAAAAATATCGAATTGATTTTGAGTTTGAGACGCAGTTTGACTTTGATTTAGGTATTTTTAGTTGAGAAACATAGATTGTTACTAATTATTTTTTTCTAATTACCTATACAGAAAATAAAGTCTCTTGCTTTAACATATTGTAGTAATGACAGGAGACTACAAAACCCTACACTGCGCGTGGAAAGAGACGCACTTGACCGGTTCTTTAACAATAAAATGCGAGAAAAAATAAATCTCCATAGCATTACGAAAAATCAATAAAAATCGCCTAAACTTGCGATAGTCGCATTTTCTTAGTGTCGCCGCACACGGGCCACACGCCACAGCCACAAACGCCGCCACGAGAAGCTAGAAGCGGCTATTAAAGTGGCTGAAACGCGCGACAGCGGCCGACTAAGGTAAGGGAGAGAGGGGTGGGGAATCGCGCGAGTGACGTGTGGCGGCGTTTTGTATCGGCGCATTAAGTGGCCGGAGCGGGCCACAAAAAGCGAGCAACGACGATTTTAGCGTGTGGCGGCCACCGGCGTACCGTGTGTGGCGAGTCCATATAAAATGTATGAAAACTACAAGAAATATGGCGGTGGCGGCGTTTTGTGGTTGTGGTCGGTAGCCCGTGTGCGGCGACACTTACACAATTTTAAGGGTGATTCTTAAGCGTTTTACTGATTGTGCAGGACACGCAAGGCATAGCGCATTTATAATTTTTCTTCGCACCAAATCCCAAATCCGGCATAGAAAGAAATCACACTTTCATTTTAATTCTTCTACTCGCCATTTAAATTTTCGGCTGTTATCGCTAAGCTTTTTGTGAATTCAAATGGACCGGTTAATGTATAAGGAAGGTACAATTGTCGAATTATTCTTCGCGTGCACAGAATAAAGTTTAAAGTCCAGTGAGACGGAACTTCAGTACAATATTCGCATACGAAAGTGGCGGTATGCAAATTAGACAAGTTTGATTATGGTTAATCGCCGTTTAGCGATGCGGTCCGAAAGAAGCTGCCAAGTGTACGCACTCTTGAGCAACGCTAAGCCTACATACTGCTATTAACATTGATGCGTCCTCAATGTATGAAGGCTTAGAGGCTTGTATGAAGGTTTTGAAGTTATACTTCTTTATACGCGTTATGAAAAAATGATGAGAGTGAAATTTTAAGATGCGCGCGCATCATTGTAATACAAAAAATTACTTTACTTTTGTGTTTACCGCACATTAAGAAAATCTACCAACAAAATAGAAATAGAATCTCTATTTTGTGGGTGCTAACGACTGCATTGTAAAGGCCTATCAAAAGTATTTATTAATCTGGAACAACGGAACCAAAGCGCGATTCAGGAGACTACAGCGCCATCTCTTGACCATTGGTGTAGTAGAATCAAAAACCACATCTTTATTTTTTGTAATAAAGTAACAGTTATAGGTATTCATATTTATAATATTTATCCACATGTTTCTAGTTTGTATATTCGGAATACGTGTTTGAGTTTCATACAAGTGCAAATCACATATGTTCTAATAAATTATATTCAGTAGCGATTTTAATTGAATATTTTGATTATTTATTTATTTTTTCAAATTAAAACTGAACTTTATTGACTGTGTCCTTTTCCAGACTTTTTATTAATTTTTTGTAATTAATTATTTGCATGCAATTAAAAACTAATTTTAAACGATGCCAAAGAAGGATAACTTCTCACGCGCCTACATAAGTACACGCACCCATTTTTTTTTGGTTAAGTTCTCCCTTTTCAGGGAAGGCAAGGAGATGCCCATACAGCCTAGTCTTAAATTATTCTGTTTTCCTTTTTACGTTAGAATGTCGGTGTGACGCATTCTAATGTTTCTTGGAGTGTTTGGCACGAAATGTATCGAGTTGGCTTTTTCGATAAGCTTCTGTGAGGTAGACAATACTACAATAAAATTCTCACGTCCACTTGACCGGAATAGCGTATATTTTGACGATTCTACTAATTCTTCAGTTACGCAGACAGTTGTAACACAAAATCACACCAATTTTATTTCGCAATATCCACTATGAACGAATTTAAGAATAATTAAAATAAGACGTCAACCACACTCGATGAAATCCCGCCAAAAACTCGCTTAGAGCATATACCAATCAGTGTTGCCAAGTCTCCTGATTTTACAGGAGTTCTCCTGTTTTTTTTATATTTCTCCTGTTCTACTATTTTTCTACATGAATCTACTTTTTCTTAGAGTAGGATTTTCTTTTTTAAATTGCATTTTGATTTGCATTTCCTGCCATTAATAATGTAGATAACAACCTTAATTACTATAAAATAAATGTTATTGTCTAAAAAAACGAGGTTTGTGGGACGGCAGAAGCCACAGAAACACATTCGTTACTGGCCTATATAATATATAAAATACTAGCTATGGCCCGCGGTGTTACCCGCGGTTTATTTGGCATATTATCCCGCAGTAAAACGTAGCCTATATGTTAATCCAGGGTATCAGCTAACTGTATACCAATTTTTATTAAAATCGCTCTAGCCGTTTAGACGTGAAAAAGTAACAAACATACACACTCGCAGATTCACAAACTTTCGCCTTTATAATATTAGTGTGATAAGGGGGGGGGGGGGGGGGGGGGGGGAGGGGGGCAAATCGGAAAAAGTACGCCGCTGTATCTACTGTTTTTTCTTGTAGCGCTTTCCATACATCTACCGCTTTTTTCCATTACACCTCCCTATTTTTAAAAATCTACCTGGCAACACTGATACCAATACTGTAAGTATGAAGTGTTAATCAAATTGCAACACAACACTCGCTCCGTTGTGAATGGTGCAAGTATTATCGGACAAATTGATTCCTAATCCACTTGCCCGATAATTCGCTTAAAAATGTCAGTACCCCTAGCATGAACCAAAATCGAAGTCGTATCGTTTGCGAGTCCGAATTGTCATTGTCAAATGTGTACTGATTTTTAGTTTTCTTTACATACTTTGTGCCGCTCCTGTTCAAGTTACCATACAAAATGTGTATGGTAACTTATATGTTATAATGGTTCGTGCCCCTAGGTACAGAACAGACAAGTTTTCATATAGAAAGAATGCGTAATTGCATTTAGGACCGCTGATAGTACAAGTGTCTGTTGTGAGTTTATCGTAATGTAGCATGATTTAGCGTGATAACTTTAACTAATCTAAGCGGCGCGGGTTAGAGTGAGAAGGGCGGAGCCTGCCTACCGCTACCGTACGCGTGAGAGGAAGGGAAGCCAGACAGACTGACGCCGTAACGCGTTACGTCACGAAGTGTCACTCAAAACAAAATTGAGTGACACTGATGTTTTCAGATACTGCAATCAGGAGCGTGCGAACACCAAAACACCTTCTATGTGAATGTAGGCCTCTCATCCACAAACGTAGTGTTTGTTTGGTACGACACATAATACGCCCAGATGAAATAAAATCTCTGAAAGCTAGAGATATTTTGAGCTTTTCGGAAGCTGTCGGGCTAAAAGAGACACTTTAACTTAGTCGCCACTATAGGTCACAGTGACTACAACCCCATTAGGACTGCATAGACTCAAAAAAAAAGTATCGCTATCTTTTTCTTTTTCGACTGTTACACATCAAAGAAGACGCTATGTGCCCCAAGTGAAGTATTAGAATAAATTACTCAATAACTACACAATACGGCGAGTGCTTCCGATATGGTCGGTTGCTACCGGACGCCAGTTGGTTGTCGGTTAGTTACCGGCACGGGTTCGAACCCCACACACGCTCGCATTCTCAACTTACACTTTTTACAATACTTGCGGGCGCGCAGGACAGTGCACTGTGCAGTGTGACTTTATCGATAAAGTTTTCAATGTTTTTGTTAAGAAACCTCTTTTGAGATTCAAGTTTAAAAAAAGTTTTAAAAGGATTCCAAATTTAAATTTATTGGTGTTGTTCTAGAATTATGACTTTTTAAATATTAGAATTGTTGTTTGTGAAGAACGATTTTTACATGCAAGTGACGTTTTTAGTGTTGCCATTGGATTGTAAACAACTTTTAGCGAGATGTGGCGATTGCTGATGCTGTCTATATTATTGCAATGTAAGTTTTTGAAACATAATAGTGTCTTTTGTAAATGTGTATTGCAAGATTGTTCACTATTTTGATAGTAACGTAGAATGAACTTTCAATTCCTAGAGACCGCTAGAGGGCGGTGTATGCTTGCCATAAGTCACTGCATCCATTAATTATCCGATTTTACTTAGAACACATATTTCTGAGACAACCTTTTAACTAAATTAAAGAATAAAACTAGTTTTTACGGGCCAATGCACGAAACTTCATTTATTTATTGACGTTTCGCAGCCTTTTCAGGTCTGCATCGTCAGAATAATGATTTTATTTTAAACTAGTTTTATTTAATGAGTGATGTGCGTGAAAACCTAAGAAACAAATAAATTAAAGAAGTTGATTCATGTCAAATTGCACTATACAAATGTATATTTCTTATAATGTTTGGTATGAGGTACCTAAAAACATCGATTTCACTTCATAAAATTAGAAGATGGCTGTAGTAATTTAATTTGAAAATGGTTTTTAGTCTATGCTTTTTAAACACTCAAAACGCTGTCCACAATGATTGTGATGTCAACAAGTTAGTAAATGTGTTAGTAAACAATTAAACGTCATTGTCGTGTTACCATGGTGTCTTTCGTCGGACTAAAATATATCTTAAAAAAACCTACTTCTTGTAGAAAAATTTCCGTTTATTGGTTTTGTTGACTAAATTTATGGTGGACGCCGGATTTGTGAAAGGAGAAACGACAAAACTCTTTGACTTAGTAGGTACATTCATAACCTTAAAAAAAAAATTTTCAAACTTTAAATATTATTCAATGAGTACTCACTTTAATGTGATCTTTGCTAAAAGAAATAACTTTCAGACGGTAAAATTACAGGATTTAGCAAGTTTTGAATATGACTGTGTTCATGTGTAGCTATGTGTATTTCTCTAGACAATTTAAACCACAACTTTTCCGGAGTCTTTAACGGTGTGTTTCTACATTCTCGTATAATACAATCATGATAATGATTATATTTATCATGAAATCTATTAGAAATCATTTTTTTTTAATATTTCCTACGTGCTTCCAAATGTTTGTTTACGATTTTGTTGACGTCATAGCATAGATAATCTATAGACTAAAATGGCCGACAGCGTTTTTGTATGTCCATGAAAAATCTATTTTAAAATTAAAGTTTTGTAGCTTTCTGGGTCAAAAAAAATACATTACATTTTTTTTCGGTGTAATAGAACAATTATTAACCATTTAAAACATATTTCCAAAAAGTGTCAATTAGCCTATTTATAAGTCTCACTTAAAACACATCGCGAACGGCAGTAGAATATTTACAAAGCAAATCCTATTGTGAACCGTAATTTCTATTCACCAAGCTTCATTTTGCGGAACCGTAAATATTAATACTGGCGTAACGCAATTTCGCGTTAACGAAACCGTTGTTTTCAATAAACATTTTCACACTATAGGTAGGAGGGTATATATGTAAATATGTACGTAAACAAAATTGCGTAAGCTCAGTAACGGGCTATTTATCATTCCAGACGCACCCGTCGCTATATTTCACAAGCGAAAATGTTATAAGTATGAAAAATGCAGCGCCGTTCATGCACTCTCACAACAATAATTACGGCGGAGTATATAGTACGCGAGGTTCGTTATTGTTGAATGAAATTACAATAACAATGAATCCCCCAGGTGTTATGTTTCTTGCGCATGGAATAGAGTCGAATTTTATATCAACGGAGGGATGAATTCTATATATCTATATATATAAAACTCAAAGGTGACTGACTGACATAGTGATCTATCAACGCACAGCCCAAACCACTGGACGGATTGGGCTGAAATTTGACATGCAGGTAGATGTTATGACGTAGGCATCCGCTAAGAAAGGATTTTGAACAATTCTACCCCCAAGGGGATAAAATAGGGAATGAAAGATTTTTATGAAACTTTGATAATTTTAAACCGATCGGGCTGAGACTTCGCATGCAGGTATAAGAAGAATCATAGATCAATGTCATTGTGCATAATACAAGCCTGAGAACAAAAAACTGTAGTCTACACTTCAGCTCTACTCCGAAGCGAAGCGAGGGCGGGCCGCTAGTTAAAAATAATTGGGATAACCGGTAACTGAGTCGTTCATTTGTCACATGCGAGACGCCAGTCACAACAAAGCTGTCTCGCTTGTGACAAATGAACCAATTGACGTTTTGTTTGAGCTTAATTTAAATACAATTTTGGGAGATGAATCAACTCTCCCACCTGGGCAAGTCTTCCGGTTTTCCTAATAGCAAAGACTAGCAAACCAGTGAACCAAATGTTCACCAAAAAAAAAAAAAAGAACTTCAGAGATTTTGTGTGGTTTCGTTTGAAATAGAAATCACGTGATTTCTCGAAAACCGGAAGTGCTACGTTACTCACATCCGGTTTGTAGTCTTATCAGACTATTCTTAACTTATAACTTAAACATTCTCTATACCTATCTCTTACGGTTTGGCCGCTGAAACAGCACCACGGACGGACGGACGGACTTGTCTATTAGATAAGAGATTCGAACACAAGTCCTTTTAGAAGATAGCAGGAGCGCTGGTGTAGCACTTACAGGTCATCAAAAGTTATCAGGAATATGAAAGATCGTGTTTATGAAAATCATGTTCTAAATAAAATGATCGATTTATTTAAATAATGAGAAACTAGATGGCGCGGGTGGTTAGCGCGTTGAAGTTAAGCAACTTTCGCAGTGGTCGGTCATTGGATGGGTGACCAAAAATCTTCTATCTCGAGTTCCTCCGTGCTTCGGAATGCACGTTAAGCCGTTGGTCCCGCCTGCATCTGCAGTCGTTAGCACCCGCCAATCTGCACTGGGCCCGCGTGGTGGGTCATGGCCCAATCTCCCTATCCCATTCATAGGGAAAGCCCGTGCCCCAGCAGTGGGGACATTAATAGGCTGATGATGATGATTTAAATAAGTCTGAAGAATTCTGAGTTCGGGGTACCTGTCTGTCTTGGCAGACCAATAACTGTTTACTCGTGTAAGCAGTTATTGGTTCGCCTTAATAATTTATAGGCCCATGCGGCTTTTATCACCCATTCGTGGAACTTTTACGAGTGTCAACAAAGATCACGCTTGAGCCACGTGGTTTCAATGTTGATACTACGTAGCGATGTTATAAATAATTTCTCCTCTGTAAGAATAAATTTGTAGTAGACATATTATAGTTTTTTTTTTTATTTAAAAATTAAACGGCTTTGGACAAGTCCATACAATCTATACATTAGTAACATTCTTCGTTGATTGTAAATCTTCTCTTCAAATGTTCTGAATAGTAGAAGTAATGTAGGTGTAAAGATGTTCATAAGTATCTTCGTTTTCCAATAGAGATGGCACGAGGCCATCTATAAGTAATAATATTATACTATATTAGATTTCGATAGAATACAGATTAAGAACAATTTCGTACAAGAATTACGTTATAGATATCGTATTGTTTTATTTATTTTCAATTTTATTTTGCCGCTTTGAGTGAGGTTGCTATGGCTACACGTAGGGTGTATTCCATAATATATACCAGTATACTGGCCAGTGCTAATGATGTCATGAATCGACGATAGACTGGTGAATTGTTCCGAAATATATTGGCCAGTGCACTGACGTCATAAATCGACGAAATATTAAAAATAGTGCGAATAAAGAAGATTTTTTATTCACCTCATCTATTAAAAGGAATTCTATTTGTACGCATCCCATTATTGTTCTTTAAATAAAAAAGAAATAAAATTCGAATGCATCTCACGCACGCTCGGTCATACGTCATATTCATTTTCCCGGTAAAAATATGGTAGCATACCAGTACAATATGGTGTCGGATTCGTATACTGATGTATATTTCGGAATACACCTGTAGTTTGTTCTGAGGATGCTCAGGGTAAAGGATGAGTAATACTTTCTGCAATTATCTGATCTGATTAAATACCCTTGTTATGTTAAATAATATAGATACCTACTCATATACATTGTTTACTATTATATATATATATATTTTTAATTATATTTTTTTTTTGTATAGATGACTACAATAAGTGCCTGTAAAGGCCTTTCTGATCCTGATTTTTGATTTCCTTAAATGGATGATATTATGCTTGTTATGTACTAATTTTTATCAATCCCATTAAGTTCGGGCATTCCATATTTTGAAACTTCTATCTTCTCCAAGCACTAAAATGAGCACGAAATATGTCAAGTATTTCAAGTGTGTTTCTAGTTAGCAAAATGCGAAATTATAGAACTACAAAATGGGGCGCCATCGCTCGTGCAATTAATAATTACGGAATACAGACAAAGAGATAATAAACAAGCATGATAAAGCATTCATAGAGCCGCACTCATTCAGAGCGGAACTGGAACAAAGAACTATTTCTTAATTAATACAGCACTAAGATACGTAGGTACGAGCAAACGCGCGATTGTTATACTTGAGCAGCTTCGGTGAAAAGATGGGGTGCTGGAGAGGAAGGAATCGATTCTCCTTTGTTTCCCCCCGAGCTCACTGGAATATTGAAAACTGACATCTCAAATTTAAAAATAGAATCATCACGCACAGATTTGTCGATTTTCCTTTGTTTCGTACCTGGATTCACTGAAATGTTCGAACACAGTAACTCAAATGAAAAAATAAAAAAACCTTTTCAAAACTTTTTTGTATTAAGGCTGCAAAAATAACTTTAAAAAAGTGATTATTTCGGTAAACCGTTGTACTGGTTTTACGGATATTTTTTTTATCTAATCAGCCCCACAACTGCTACCAATAATTTTTAGTTCGTTTTTTTGCCTAATAATTAGCACTGTCATTGGTGGTTATAATATATGGCTTCTTATGATTACCCATTAACTCAAATCTTTACATCTATTTAAATAAAACTCAAAGGTGACTGACTGACTGACATAGTGATCTATCAACGCACAGCCCAAACCACTGGACGGATCGGGCTGAAATTTGGCATGCAGGTAGATGTTAT